TAAATGTTATCTTAAAATATGATAACTTGGAAAATATAGTGAAAGAATCAGCAAATAATTAACATGATTTACACTGGAAAAGATCTAGTTAGAAGGGAAAGCAATGTGGAGGTATATAGGAAAAAAAAGTATATGATATTAAAAAAAGCAACATGGCAGGCATATATAGTGCCTGATCAGTAATCACATCCAACTTAATAAATACTCCAATCAAAAGGCATATATTGTCAGAATAGACTTTTTAGAAAAATGATCCAACCACATGTGTTGACAATAGACACATTTTGGATTTAAAGACACAAACAAGTTGAAAAATAAAAGGATAGAAATAGATATACCATGTACACAACGATAAAGAGAGGTGCAGTGGCTGTACTAATACCAGACAAAATATGGACTTCTTGCAATGATAAAAAGATCCAATCATGAGGAAGACATCGTATTATAAACACACAGGCATCAGAGGCTGAAAATATATGAAGCAGAAACTGACAAAATTGAAGGAAGAATTAAAAGTTCAACAGTAGTTGGAAATTTAAATCAATCCTTCAAACCCCACAATCTCTTCCTCATGTAGCCAACATAACTCAAGAAACCACAGTGGGGTCTGACTCAGCTTCCTGAGACTTTTGTGCCATAGCTGTGTCCATGCTTAAGTGCAGATGTATCCTTGGATATCATATGGTGGGTTGCATCATATCATCCATATCATTACCATTCGTGCTTTTCTAAAGGGCATATTTTAAAGATTAAAGATTTAAATGATACGCATTTAAACACAACTGCATCTTTAAATTCAAGTTTTCCAGCATGGTAACACATTACTGTAATCCCAGTGACTCAGGAAGCTGAGGCAGGAAGATTATAAATTATAGAGTTCCGCCCCAGCAATTTAGCAAGGCCCTAAGCAATTTAGCAAGACCCTGCCTCAAAACGAAAAATAAAAATGGCTGGGGATGTAGCTGAGTGGTTAAGCACCCCTGGGTTCAATCTCTGGGATTAGGAAAAAAAAAAAACTAAAGTACCTATAACCTCCCACTCAACAGTTACTCAGTGATATTCACTGCTCCTTTGGATTTTCTATTAACATTGCTCAATCAGATTCAGGAGATGTTTTATCCTCTGATTGTATACAGTTTTAGAGAGTGACTATGATTCCTATACTGTATCCTCCCAAACTGGTCACTGTTAGTTTAGAAATGGCCGTTTCTGGTGTTTCAACTACTTTCAGTAGTCTATTTCAGTATGAAATACTCAGCTATTAATTTACCCTTGAAAATTGTATCTATTGCTTTACAAATTTTCTTTGAATTAACAAAAATCTTCAGACTAGTACAAACTCTTCATGCAAAGGAAATTATGAAGACAGATTCAGTTATATCTCTGAATATTGATCTTCATAATTTTATACATTATGCAGCACAGTTCATTGGGTTTTTTTTAGTAATTTACCATATGTTTTCATAGTTTTCCTTTGTCATGATTCTTTGCCACTTTTTACCTTTCTCATTATTTGACCTTAATTTTTCAGTTTCCTTTACTGTTTCTGCCATTTATTAATACTTCTCTAAATTCCACAATAGGCCCACTTTTTTTGTTTTTTCTTTCATTCCTAGGAAATTTAATTCTCCTTTGTGGTATTAAAGGCCTATAAGCCAATGATCCCCAAATCTCTATACTCTTATTAGAAAGCTATTCTACATTCCAATCTCTATTTCCACATTCTTAATCAATTCATTGGCATATTTCACAGGCATCAATTTCAACATATTCCTGAAATACTCAAATACAATCCCCCTGGTCCCTCATCAACAAATCTTCCTGTTGTATTCATTGCTTCCATTACTACACCAAGATCTATTTCTCACTTGAGTTATCCTTAATCTTCCCTATTCTTATTTACATCTCATTTTTCTCAAATATCATCAATGTATCCTCTAAAATGTCTCAAGGCATTTGTGATACATTTAAAACAGCCACAAATTATTTTCCACTACTCCTGCCATGAAGTAGTCAACTTCTCCTTTTACTTTGACTGCATTTGGACATGTGACTTGATTTGGCCAATGGGATCAACAAATGTGACCCCACTAGAGGCTTGCTAAGCACATGTACCTTGGACTAGTTCTCTTGGAACTATTCTATGATACCACCATGATCTAAGGAAGTTGGTCTAGCCTCAGGGATGAGAGGCCACATGGAAAAGAGAAGAGAGGCCTTTGCCCACAGTGGGCACCAATAGCCAGATATGTGAGGGAATCTACTTGGAATGTGGCTGGCAGATATTCCAGCCATGATGTGATTTCAATCACAGGAATGAGTTCAAGCAAGACCACTAATAGAACTATATCCAGCCAATCCACAGATCAATGAGAAAAAAACAAATGATTCTTTGCTGCAGCCACTTGTTCTGAAGTGGTTTATCAGGCAACAATAGTTAAACAGAAAGAAACATGATCTTTTTTCTTTCTTTGCCTGTCCTACTGGAGGCTCATCAATCTCTTCTGTAAATCCTATACGTTCCCTTCCAATTCATACAAAAACTACCATTTTATTACATTATCTATAATCGTATCATCCTCACACTTAGAAACTTTCAGTAAGCTCATTACTAAGAACAACAGCCCAAGTAATGCTCTCTACTCAACTTATTATTCCAGTCTCATTCTCTCCACATATACTATCCTATATTTCTGTAAGATTTTGACATGGTTTTATCACAACTTATCATCTATTTACATGTTATTTATGAATTTATTCCACCAGACTATTTTAATGATCACCATACCTAAAACACTATAGACATTAAATGACTGTTGTATGAATACTTTACAATGACAAGGAACTCAGTTTTATATTGTTTTGAGTATCAGTCTTGAAAACAAGATACCTTTCTGACCAATATACAGATGAATAAAAAGGTTCAAAAACATTGAACCCTACTCAAGTCTAAAAACAGTGGAGCCCTTAAATTAATGTGTACATAGTTGATTCCTGGAAAAGTAAACTTTGCACCCTTGAGTCTCCACTTTCAAAACATTCTAAATTTGTCTTTTCCTAAAGAAAATTTAAATTTGTGTCAAACAAAATCAGGCTCTATCAGTGCTATATAGTTCCAAATAATATCTTTTTTAAAAATATCTTTATTTTTATTTATTTACTTTTATGTGGTGCTGAGGATTGAACCCAGGACCCCAAGCATGTGAGATAAGCACTCTACCACTGAGCTACAACCCAGCCCCTAAATAATATCTTTGATTCAATTTTTAAATATACAATGAATTCTTTTTCTTTAGACTAATGTAAAATTGTATGGTCATAAAATTGACAAATAATGCTTCTTATTGAGATCAAACCTTAAATAGCCCAATCCTCTCCCCAACTATCTTCAGAGAGAGCTTATCATTCCTGTAGGGTCGGTGTGGTAAAATCAACATAGTTAATCTTCATGTGTAAGAGTTGGCTAAGAGCCAATGGAATCAAAAGGGCAAGTCTGAGCAAAGAAGAAAACAGGCAAGTGTAGACCAGCTCAGGAGTAAAATGCTCCTAAATAGATGCAATATATGGCAGCTTCTATTTTGTACAGAATGAACAATTCTAATGGACTGAGGAAGTCCCTCATTGGTTCTCCCATTTACCTTATCATGTCATGGGCATTTTACTTAATATCTCTAAGTCTTTATTAACTTTCCTGAAAAATAAAGAGTCATTATGCCTCACAAGGTTGATGGTGATTTAGCTTAAATATTATGTACATAGAGTATGTTGTACAATGTCTCATATATAGCAAGAAAGCAATAAATTGTAATAATTGAAGTTGTTGTTAAGTAAGGTTTTCAGATAGAAAATAGAGCAAATGCTTGTAATCAGTACTGGAATGTTGAAATGATATCCCTTAATCGAAGCTGGTTTGTCAACTATGGTATTAGTATGTTAGTATTGTCCTAAGTTAAGACTGTGGGGAAGACATTGGCAAGATTGTGTAAAATGCTCATGGCTAAGAAAAATCACATGGCAAAATAAATGAAAATTGAGTTGAACAGTGTCAGTTCCCTTCCTACAATTTGGAAGAAGCACTTCCTTAAGGAACTTGAGCACTTGGTTATGGAAAAACAGAGATTTGATTTACATTAAGGAAAGAACTGTTGGGTTGTTGGCTAATGGTGTCCACCACAGTTGTCTCTACATCTTTTCTGCACTTTCTCATCTCTGATTCTTCAACCCACTTCAATCTGACATCTTTCCCCTTTGTTCTTGAAGTCACCATCGATCTTTCTTTTCCTTCCAATTTTAGTTTTTAATGAACTTATAAACAAAAAAGCTCCCATTTCAAAATTTTAAAAAACTCAAGATCATATAGGAATTTACAATGATTATTTATCTAAGCAACATACATAAATGTTCAGTTGTAAGATGTGAACTAAATTTCTGTGACAAATATGCTTTTTTTTAAATAGCAAGAGCATTATAGAGTTAATGCAGAGACCTAAGGATAATCTAGTAGTCACTAAGTCTTTACTTTAGATGCTGTTATTTCTAGCACAGTAAGCTGGCATAATCAAACACTGGAATCTCTGGTTGCTACATATAAAGAATGTGTTAAGTGAACAACTTGCAAATCCCAGGGGTGGAAAAACCCTAAGAATACACAATTGTGGGCATTTTTAACCATCACAACTGTGGCTGAAGACTGTTCATGCTGTTCTTCTGAAATGAGATCTCAAAGCAGTGCAGCACAAAATGAAAGGTTTTAACAAACAAACAAAAAAAGTACATGCACAATTTCTCCACCAATTTGAGTGTCAACCATTTAGTTAACTTTTCCACTTAAAAAATGCAATAGCAAACCAGACACCATTTCACTGTTAATATTCACAATTACAGTGGCTAAACTCATGATACAGCATCAACAATGCTTCCCAGAGCCAGTTTATACTGAAATTAAGTTCTTTACTTACACCAAGTAAATGGTGGTCCACAACCACTGGCTAGTTTACATATGAACTAAAATTTCTAGATTTGGGGAGAAACAAATGCTGCTTCAATCATCTGCTCTGCTTCTTCTGTTCTTCAATTAATGCTTAGAAACCTTTCATGTTACTCTTGGTTTTGTTGGTTTGCTTGCCTGTGGGGGATTGCACTGGCTGACCCTGCCCACTGGAAAAGGCTGCCTGGTATGCTTTCTGCTTTAACTTCTTCGTCCAATCAAATATGTAGTCATAATGGTAGTTCAGAGTCCTGAAAAGGATGCGGAATAGCTCCTTCAGATACTTGTAATCTGGGACTTCCTCAAAGGGCAGCCTACGACAATAGTTTAAGTATATAGCAAATTCTGCAGGAAACCCCTTACATAAAACTTCAACAGAAGTGGACCTCTTCTTTTCACTGATCTTTTCATATATTTGTTTCTTTGTTGCAGCATTTAGTCCTTGCCATGGCAGATGGGTTCTATTAAAATACATCAAAACATATCCTAATGATTCCATGTCATCTCGGCGACTCTGCTCAATACCAAGATGTGCATTGATGCTAGCATATCGGGCAGTGCCAGTGAGGGGTTTACCTTCCACATATGGTATGTGTTGCTTTGTCTTGTCGTTTCTGTACCTTTTGGCCAAACCAAAATCAATAAGGAATAACGTATTACGGTCATTCCCGATACCCACTAGTAAGTTATCTGGCTTAATGTCTCTGTGTATAAAATTCTTTGAATGCACATATTCAATTCTACTAATCATCTGGTCAGCTAACACAAGTACAGTTTTCATTGTGAAACTTCTTGAGCAGAAATTGAAGAGATCTTCAAGGCTGGGTCCCAGAAGATCCATGACTAACACATTATAGCCTTTTTCCTCACCGTACCACCAGATGTGGGGGACGCCAACCCCACCTTCAAGAATCTTATAGATTTGGCTTTCGATTACCAACTTGGAAAACTTGGCCTTCTGAGATTCTACCTTCACTGCCACTTCCTGTCCGGTGTTGATGTTAAACGCCAGATAAATGTCCCCGAAGGTGCCATACCCTATCTTCTGTACCAGTTTATATTTCCCTCCGACAACGACTTCGGCCTTGGAGCCAGTGCTGCTCGCCTTCCGGACAGACGAACATGGAGACTGGATCCAAGTCCTGAGGGGAGGACAAAGGCGTCGGGGGCTCTTCCACCAGGCAAGGTTGCGGAGGAGGACAGCAGACAGTGGGAAACTAAGGCCTTTTCAGGCGTTTCCGGGCCTAGAGTCAGCCCAGGGAACCCCAATCACGGACACGCAGTTAGGTTTCTTTTAGGCAGGCCGCAGTCTGTGAGTGGTTCTCGCGGTTACTTAGGTCACTTGTTTCTCAGCGGCCACCCCAGCCTCGCTTTCATGGCGTGTCCCGGGCTGAAAAGGGGGCGTGGTGAGTTAGGGCAGCTATACAGTTGCCACCACTGCCGCTGGGTCCGGCCAGGGGAGAGCCCTGTCACTCCTCCGACGCCGCCATCTTGTTTCTCCAGCGCCAGCCAACACAAAACGCCCTCAGACCCGGAAGCCGCTTCTTCACGTCGCAGAGCATGCTGGGAAAGGGATCTAGGGCTCTAGCCTGGAAGGGTCGACCCTGAGAAGAGGGCGGAGCCAGATCTTGGAGAGTTGCACGTAGCCCATGCTCCTTGCGTCATTGCATAGACATGCAGCAGCCTCACCATTAATTTCAATTTGCCAAATCCTAATCTACAATTTTTAGTCCTCATCTTATACCTCCCAAATGACGTGATTACTCACTGATTCTAGAAATACTCTTTGTACCATAGGATGCAAAACTTTACTGGTTTTCTTCTTCACTGGTGTCTCCCTCCCTCTTGTTACATGACTTGTCCTCTTTTATCTGACCTAATGTGACTCAGAACTTTCATGTTTTCTTTCCTGCCACCTATATGCCAAAAACGCCGAAATTATAGCTCTAGCCCAAATTTCCAGACCTGTATGTGCCTTACTTGACAGGTTTGCTTGATCATCTCACTAACATCACAAAATTAACATTTCTAAAACTGAACTTTTCAGTTTCTTTCAAAGCTTTTTCATCTCTAGCATCAAATTATTTCAATAAATGATACACACACACTTCTTAAGCCAAAAATCTGGGCACATCTTCACATATCTCTCTTATTCCCACTTTTAATGACCAAAGCCCACTGATCTTACCTTCAAAATACCCTGTTACTCTCCATTTCACTGCTAACATCCCCACTGTTGCAGTTCTTTCACCTAGACCGAATGCAATGGTCTCCTGATAATGTCTGTTTTCTTTTACTCTTAGCTCATTCCAATGCATTGTCTGTAGAGCAGCAGCCAATGTGGTCTTTTGAAGATATATTTGTTTTTATTTTTATGTGGTGCTGGGATCAAATCCAGTGCCTCACTCAGGCTAGGCAAGCGCTCTAACACTGAGCCACAACCCCAGCCCTCTTTAAAGATACAGATGAAATGGTGTCAATACCCAGCAAAAATCATCCTGTGACCTTCCTTTGCATCAAACATCTCTGTGACGCTAGGGCCTGCGGGATGTGTCCACTTCAACCTCTTCCATCTCCTCTCATGCTACATTTGCCCTCACTAATTACTTATGTCATCTTGGCACTTTTTTCTTTCTTTCTTTTTTTTTTTTTATTTGAGTTTCTTTATTGTATCACACTCTCCCAACTGCAAGAACTTTGTCATGCCATTCCCTGGAAAGCTATCTATACACATCCTACCTTCCACAAACAAACAGCTCTCTTTGCCAAACTCCTACTCCTGCTTCAGAAAGGCCTTTTCTGTCTTATTCTTGATTTTAATCTTATTAGAATACATCAATTGATCTCTGTCAATTATATTAAATTATAATTTATTTTTATTGGCATATTATAATTACACATAATTGTGAGATTCATTATGCCATATTTGTACTTACATGCAACACAATTTCATCAATCTTATTTCCAGTACTTTTCTTTTTTCTTTTCTTCTTCCTCCCTCTGATCTGCTTGCTCTACTGTACCAATCTCCCTTCCATTATTATTATTATTTTAATTAGTGAATTATAACTATATATATATATATATATATGGTATATAAATATACATAATATATATGTCTGTATACTCACACATGGAAAAATCTATGTCAATTATTTCAGGGGAAATGATATTAGTAACATTTTATCTTTAACTTCTCAAATAGGAAATCCCCATTATTGTAATAAATAATATTTTTGGCAGGGAATTGGCAAGCCATCTTAATCAGAAAACTTCCTGGCTGACAATCACACAAAATTGAGACCACAAAGCATATCTTAAATGTTTCAGCACTTGGATTTTCCTAAATACTTCTTTTAAGTTCTTTCTGAACAACGTACACAAAGATCAAAACATGCTAATTTCAACATTGCTGGCCAAAATCATAAAAGAGCATTTAAAAAAGCATATGGATACATTTACAAACTTATAAACAACAAAATGTTTCATGGCTTTACTGAAAAGAGTCAATAAGATAAAAGATTTTCCTTGTTTGTAAGATGAAAAGATTAAACAAGATGATAGTGAAGATATCTTCAAGCTCTGAAAATTCTAATGTTTATGACCTTAGAATAAATAAATAATATATATTTCCTCTTCTCACCAGAAAAAAAAATTCTTATTTATATGTTTCACCATAACAATAGTTTTACTTTATATTTTTAATATGTAGTATATTGAACTGGCTTATTTTTGCTTCTCTTAAAAGTGGAAATAAGAAAAAAGTAACTTACTATCCATTTTTAGCATAAACAAGTAGCCAAGTTGAAGTCAGTCTCCACTCCAGTTTTTTTAAACATACATATACCCTCCACCACCACCACCAGGATGTCCATAATGGATACAATTATTCTACTCCTTTTGAAGACAACAGAGAGCAGCCTCCAGAAACCACAAAGTAAACACAACTCCTCCTAGAATCCATTTCATGATCTCTGAAATATCTCCTCTGATAGCTCAGCTAAAGCTAATGCCCATGAAGTCACTTTGCTCAGATCTTTATCCATAACCTTTGAAAGTGGTGCTAATAGTTAACAGAGTCAAAAATAAAATAAAATTAAGGATGCTGCTAATCCACCAAAAATTCTAGAACTGTCTATGGTCAGGTCCAAATCACTTCAGTCATTAGATCCTCTTATAAGTATCAATGGTAGGAAATAGTGTCAGGAGGTATTTATGGGAAGCACTATGTGTAAATCTTGTAACAAGCCCTGAGGTACCTGAGCAAAGTCACCCAATTTGCAATGGAGAATATATGTCTTGTGAAATGCAACTCTTGATATGTTACTGAGCTACGGTACAAATTGGCAGGCAGACGACTATGGGAGAGCAAATGACTATACAGCTAGAATTTCCCATCATGAGCTGAATCCTGTCATATCTGCTAATTCCGATGGCTGAGAACCCATGTCATCACTACTGCAGTGCACTTTCATGCCCAGATGGGAATCCCTGAGGAGCAGTTTATGAGTATGCAAATATCCAACTGTGGCTTAGTGATGGGTCAGACTATCATGGCCTAACTCATAAGTTAGCAATTAGTAGAAGTTTTTTACCACATACCTGGTTATCTGCTTCAGATAAAAAAAAAAAAGTGGTCTGAGATTATGATATATAAGGAGACAAGGACAATGACAAATAATCAGCTAGCTGATCAAAGTTTTATAATAACAAAGATTAGAAAGATCAGAGACATAGAAGTCTGGTGGAAAATAATATATATGGATAAACATATTGTGGACATAAGTGTGAAGTCTTTGAATTAAAATTTTGCACCAATCCAAGAGCTCGCACCATAGAAGAATCACTAAGTAACCAGGCAGCCAAAAGGACTCAGCTGATGTCAGCCAATCTCTCTCTTTGGCCACTCCTATGCCGAAACAATGGACACATGAAGAAGAGATAGAATTTAGGCATCAGCTCAATAGCATGGGCTCCCACTTTTCATGATGAATGTAGCTACTTCTGTCTCTTAAAGTCCAGCTTGTCAGCAACAAAAACTGACGCCAAATCCATGACATGGCACCATTCCACAAGAAAGCTATTTGGCCACTCATGTCACTTGTACACAGAAAAGACGTGTGTTCTAGTCAGCTTTTTCACCACTGTGACCAAAAGACCTGACATGAACAACTTTAGAGGAGGAAAAATTTAACTGGGGCTCATGGCTTTAGAGGTCTCAGTGTATAGGTGACCAACTCCATTTCTCTGGGTCTATGACGAGGCAGCACATTAAGGCAAAAAGGTGTGGCAGAGAAAAGCAGCTCAGGATATGGCACCAGGAAGCAGAGAAAGAAAGCTCTGTGACCTACCTCCTCTAACCACACCCTACCTGCCTACAGTTACCTACCTACAGTAGATTAATACCCTGATTAGGTTAAGACTCTCATGAACCAATCATGTAACCTCTAAACTTTCTTGCATTGTCTCAAACATGAGTTTTGGGGAACACATCATATCTAAACCATAACAACATGTGATTGTCTCTGGTAGGAATAGACCTGGGTATGGATTTGTCTTTCCTGCCCACAGTCTCAGTCAATATTACTATCCACGAGTTCATTTTATTTGCACAAGATACCACATAGAGCTGAGTAAGTATGGAAGTGGGCACAGGACAAAAAGATGCAGTAGTCAAAATATGTTCTGTAAGCAGCCATCTTGACAGAGTGTTGCAACAACCTCATGAAGGCATTAGTGAAGCTCCATTTTCGAGGTGTTGCTTTATGGAGATGGGGCCATATCCTCCAGAATGCAATATATATACTACTATTCAAAGATTTCCACATTGTGTTGTGCTCCCAGCAAGAAGGCAATGAGAAAAACAGAGAGGAATAACCCTGCTTACCATCACCTTCAATATTGCTTGGAAATTTTTATCTCCCATCCCCCAAACACTTGGCTCAGCAGTTTAAAAATCCTGGTCTCCAAAGAGGAGTACTTCTTCCAGGGGACACAGCAAATGTCCCATTAAGCCATAACTATGGCTTCCCTTGGCACTTCATTCTCCATGTGTCCAGAAAACAGTAAGAAAGAAGAGGAGTCATCACCTTGGCAGGGTAATTGGCCCTTGTCATCAGGAAGAGACACACTATTATGTAATTAGAACACAGAGAAACATGTATAGAACCCATGAGTGGGCATCCCTTGGTACCCTGTAAAAATTATAAATGTAAATGAACAAGTTAAACAGACCCAGCCTGAGAAAGTCACAATGACGAGGGTCATAAAGTCTTCATGTTAGGGTTTGATTCTCACCACCCCAAGTCACCAAGAGCAACAAAGAGCTAAGCAGCAAATGGTAAGGGGAATCTAGATCAGATAATATTTTGGGAAGGTATCAGTTAGGACTCTGAGACCAGCTTCAGCAACAAGAGTAAAGTGGGTATCATTACCTCTCTGAGTTCCTCCTGGAATTAGACTATGGAATTATGGAGGACAGCTATTTCTATCCAGGTGTTTATAAAACTGTAGACATAAACAACGAAGGGTAGACTATTATAACATGGAAGTGCACTGCCTATATTCTTCTGTCTACATCGCTCTACAAGGAAGGGTATACTCTTCCATTGGCCCAAGTGCTGTCCCTTCAGGAACTGCCTGACCTACAGAGAGCTGTGTGTCCTGGAGTGGCCCAAACCTAACATTCTGATCAAAGCGTGGATAAAAGCGTTCAGTCAATAAAGCCCAGTACCTTAGAGCTGTTTTAGATCCAGAGCTCACTGTCAGAATAGGCAAACCCCCTATAAGTTCTGCATCACAGCTCAATTTCTCCTGCCCCATTTTATTTCCATGCCTTTTATTCTACAATTGATTTCATTGCCAAGCATCCTCCTCTTTAAACTCCATCAAAGAGCATAAAAGAGCCCAACCTGGATTATTTTTTCTGAATAAAGCTCAGGGCAAAGAGTAAGACTGGGAGGGCCCCAAACTACAGCAAGAAGTCAGGATAATTTCACAACCATACAATTCATTTCTAAGTATGTATCTCAAAATTATCTTAGGTTTGTACTTTTAGCATTATAATAATTGAAGTAGTGTGTATATGAATTCTCAAATATCTTTGGCTGACACATATAAAATGTGTATCGTGTATATTTTAAAATTCGAAAAATTTCACAGGCAAAAATTATCTAAAAGTGGTTCAGTGGCAAAAAAGATTTAAAACTGTAAAAAACTTCAAAAAGAAAGCATAGAAGAAAGTCCATGTACACAAAAGTTCCCAAATTTAGGATAGTTCAACTTACAAGTTTTCAACTTTATAATGGGGTGAAAATGAAATACATTTTGAACAAATTATATGTTGAATGTTGATCTTTTCCTGAGCTAGCAATATGCAATATGGTGCTTTGTTTTGATACTGGGTAATGGCAGCAAGGCAGAGTTCCCAATAAGCCATGCAATCATGAAGGTAAACAATGGATACTCTACAGGGTGCTGTGTTGCTACACAATGATGCTTGGTAGATTAGGTGGATTAGCATATTTTGATTTATGATATTTTCAAATTGTGATGGCTTTATTGAGACATAATCCCATCATAAAGCAAGGAACATCTGTATTAAATTTGAGAAAATAAAAGCTAATCTTAAATGACAGTAAGTAGGGATCAATGATTCCCGAGAGCTATGGGTGAAGTGGGAAATGATGACAAATAGACAAGACT